CTGGTTTCTTTGTTCCATATTATTTTCTGTGCTGAGTTCATTATGTTTATGAATCCTGTTATCATTTCCTTTGTTGCTGTTGTTTTATATTTGCTGAATTCTTGTGTTTGTGCCTTTTTTATTGTGATATGAAGGTTTATCAATTTTCTTTGAGGTTACCCTATGATTTATGATTTTCTCCCCAAGTTTAGAACAGTCCATTCTATCTTACAACTCTCTTGACTGCCTCACCATTTAAAAGTTCTGTAATTACACAATATTTTCCCTCTTTTTGGTTTGTAGTCATCCTCATTTGCCCGTTGATGTCTGTGGTTCCCTGTCTACAATCTTGTAAGCTAATTTTATTTTGGATATGTCCATAGCTGTGGTTTCTGGATTATGTCATCTTGTGTATTAATGGTCGGTTTTTGTTTGCTATTTTTGGTTCTCTGGTCAAAGGACTCCCTGTAGTATCTCTTGTAAGGTTGGTCTGGTTTTAACAAATTCCCTTAGTTTCTGCTTATTGGGAAATCTCCTAATTTCACCATACTATTTGAGGGACAGTTTTTCTGGGTATATAATTCTTGGTTGAAAATTTTTCTCTTTCAGGGTTTTATATATACTGTTCCAATGCCTTCTTGCTTGCATGATTTCTGCTGAGAAATCAGACCTTATTCTTACTGGTTGTCCTTTGTAAGTAACTTTTTGTTTTTCCTGTGCTGCTTTCAAGATTCTGTCTTTGTCTTTCGTATTGATGAGTTTGATGATGATGTGTCTTGGTGATTTTCTTTTGGGGTCTATCCTGTTTGGGGTTTGTTGCACTTCCTAAATTGATATATTCTCATCTTTCATCATATCAGGGAAGTTCTCCTCCAGCAAATCTTGGACAATTTTCTCAGTGGTTTTAGTTTTCTCTTCCTGTTCTGGAATTCCAATGACATGTAGGTTGTTCCTTTTGATGGTATCCCAAATGAACCTTAGGCTTTCTTCCTTTTGTTTTGATCTTTTTTCTGACTGATCCCTTTCCAAAGAAGTATTCAGGTTTTTGTCTTCAATCTCATTAATTCTGCCTTCCATTGCATCAATTCTACTCCTTTGCCCTTTCAATGTGTTATCTATTTCTGACAATTTAGTATTAATCTTCTGGATTTCTATTTGTAGATTTAGAATCATTTTTCATTTTTCATTTATTTTGTCATTTTGTTCTTGCATTTTCTTCCAAAATTCTTCTAGGGTTTTGTCTTTGTTTTCCTTCGTCTGTCTCTCAATTCTTTGAAGATACCTAAATATAATTCTTTTAAATTCCTTATCAGGGAGTTCCAATGCTGCTTCTTCCTCAGGGATGTGTTCTAGGTCTGTATCCTGCTCCTTTGTTTCTACCACTTTATCTTGTTTCTTTGTGTGGGCTGTGATGGCCTGTTGTCTCCAAGACATCGTAGCATTGTTGTATTTAGATCTCTGTTAACTGTGAAGAGCAGCCAAGGGTGAGTCAGGCTCATCTTGGTGGTTCGTCATTGGCACATTGATGGAGAAGGAAGTGGTGGCTCTCACTCAGTAAGTGAAGCTGCAGGAGGTGTGGGTGTAGTGTGTCATATGGGGACTGTTGCTGTCTTCCACTCAGTTAGACAAAAATAACAATTGAATAACCATCTTTCCAGTTGTCCAGCTCCAGAATGTCGTTGGGGTTCCCAGCAAGTGGAGCCTGTTCTTAAGTCTCTGGAATCTGGTAGAACGTTGTCACTTTAAATATCCAAAATGGTCAAACTGCTCATAAACATTCAAATTTGCTGTGCCCTCCAGACAGGCAAAAGTCCACAGCTAAGCCCACCTTCCTCTGCTCCCCCTTTTATTCAACAGCCAGCAGAGCAATCCTCCATGCATTCCCTGGGTAGCAGGGCTGATTTTTAGGTTAATTCTTAGGTCCTACCACCAGTCGGCGATATCCAAGCTGTCTGTGCCATCAGGATCGCTGCCAGACCGCACTCCATATGTCTCCTTTTTTTGGTGTTTTCATGTAAATTCTTCTGCTAGTTGGAGTTTAGTCTACTTCTATATCCTTCCCTTCAAGGCTCAGGGTCCAGGATTATCCTCTGTATCTGTGTTAATTGGTTTCCCTTCTCTTTGTTGAAGAGGGTCTGTGCAGTCTTTCTGCCTATTATGCCATCTTACCTGAACTCATTTCTACTATTGTTTTTCAAGTGTATGCTGGACACTGTGGATAATGTATTGTAGAGACTTTGGATTTTGTTATCTTCCTTTAAAAGTGTTGAGTTTTATTCTGATATGCAATTAATTATCTTGTTCCTGTCAAGCCCTGGCTTTCAGCTTTGAAAGCTTTTTGGTGGGAAAGATCTACTTCAGTTTTGTTCTTATTCCTAAATTATGTTCCTTACTTTTGCAACCAAGAGCTTTCTGTGATCTCCACAAAATACCTGAAGCAGTCACCAAAGTCTCTACTCTAATAAGTACCAATTCCAATGTTTTTCCAGGAGTATACAAACTCCACGATCTCTTTTAAGCCCTCAGCCTCCCAGAGGTGCTTTCTTTTAGGTCTTCTAGAATCAGGACTTATCAGCCCAAGAGTCCATTCAGGTCTCTGGAGTTCTCTCTATGCAGCTCCCTTCTCTCTCTTGGCACCTTAACCCAGAAACAACAGTGACCTGAGCAACTCCAAACTTTGATTTCTGCCCTGTCAGCCCAATGAAACTGCTACTCTCTACTTGAGATCCAACTTCCTGTACCACAGCCTATAAATTATCTCTAGGTAGAAAACCAGGGTGAATGTAGGGTTCACCTCATACATTTCCCATGTATCAAGGCTATGATATGGTGAAATGAATTACTTTATATGGCCTTTTGGCTTGGTTCTTTGGAAAAACAGCTTGAGAGATTTTCCCATAGACCCTGAGGAACTACTTTTCCCTTGTATCTCTATGGAAGTGGATTGCTCATCTTCCTTCTGAGGACTGGCTGGTGGATTTGAACCACCAGTCTTCTGGTTAGCAGTCAAGTGCCTTAGGCACTAGGCCACCAGAGCTCCTAGGGGTAGAGAACTCCAAAATTAAAAAACCAAACTCACTGCTGTCGAGTCGGATCCGATTCATGGTAAACCTGGAAGGAAGACTGGGCAATCTACTTCCACAATGATACTGCTGCGGAAACCCAAGAAGGGGTTGCTATGAGTCAGTTCTAACTCAACAGCAGTGAGGCACTTGACTGGTAACCTAAGGCTGGTGGTTCAAACTCACCAGCCACTCCTTGGAAGGAAGATGGGGCAATCTACTTCCACAGAGATACTGCCTCACAAAACCAAGGAGGGAGTCGTTATGAGTCTAATCGACTCAATGACAGTGAGTTTGAATTCTCTACCCCAGAGGGTTTGCTACATTTCCTGGATAAGCTATAAACAACTTGGTTTGATACTTTTTGTCTGGCCCTGGGCTGCAGCCTACCCTGTGACTGGTATGCACCTTGCAGGGAGAGGTCAGTATACTATGTAAATGAAGTGACTACAGACTATGCAACTGAAGTTACTGTAGTCTAATATGAGGTGCCTGGCACTTTAGGAGCTCTGGTAGCATAGTGCCTAAGGCACTTGACTGCTAACCAGAAGGCTGGCAGTTCAAACCCACCAGCCACTCCTCAGAAGGATGGTTAGGCAATCTACTTCCGCTTGCCTCAGAAACCCAAGGAGGTGTCACTACGGGACGGGGATGACTCGAAGACACATAACAACAACAACAACAATATGCAAATGAAGTGTCTGTGGCCTATCAAGAGAGGATTGGTTAGTTTATGGCCCCAGTGGGAGGGCCATGTCTTGCAATTGACAAGGAATTTGTGTATATATGGAATCAATCCCACTGAGTTTTTTCAGACAGGAAGCATAAAGAAGCAAGAAAGAAGACAGAAGCAGCACAGAGAGAGAAGGCAAGGAATCTTCTAAAGAACTGTAATATGGGTCAAGGGCTGTAACACTGAAGATGGCAACAGGCATGGAAGGGGCCCTGTGGCAGAGGCAATGGCAGGGAGACTGAACACAGAGAGACCAAAGATAGAGAAGACTGCCTCCAGGGGCCCAAGAAGATGCCTGTTCTGAGGGGGCTGAGAGAAAACTTGTCCTCACGGGGCTGAGAGAATGCCTGTCCTGAGAGGGCTGAAAGGAAGCAAGTCCTCAGGGGAACAAGAGGAGGTCTATCTTCAGGGGCCTGATAAGAAGCCTACCTTGAGGGGGGCAAGAGGAGCCCTGTCCTGAGGGGGCTGAGAGGAGTTCTGCATGGCAGAGAGAAGGACCTGCTTACTTGCACAGCTGAGAGAAGCTGAGAGCCATCTTGCATTGAAGAAGGAAAGGATGTGCTCTTTTCTTTGGGGGAGCATTCCACACTTTGCCTACATGCTTCCTGATCCTGAGTTGTACCCTGTTACTTCCTTAATAAACCACTTAATCTTAAGTATGGTCTGTGAGTTCTGTGTGGCTATTTCAATGGATTATCAAACTCACAGGAGAAGTAGAGAAAACAGGTTGGAAAGCGGAGGTATGTCTGATCTCCACCTCACAGGAATCAGCTTTTGGGCTAATACCGATTTGCA